GGGAGACGCTGAGTTCTCTCGGTCTCCTTTTGCCTGCGGAGAAGTGCCGTGTCGGAGCTTTCTTCCCTCACTTCTGGCTCCCCGGGCGGATGCATGATTAAAAAAAAAAAAAAAAAAAAAAAGCCCATCCAAGCCAACGCCAGCGGTGTGCTTGGGCAAACCACCAAAGCGCTGGTTAATTTATGGGAATTTAACCCATCATTGGCTCTCAACAATAACCCAAGGAGATCATAGCACTTCGTTGAAGCCAGAGAGCTGAAACAGCAAGTTTGTGTAGTTAATGAGCCTTGTTTAACAGTGGAGGCTCACGTGTTTGAACATTTACTGCCAACTAGAGTTTTGCCCCTTTTGCAAGACACTGATGCCAGCTTCCTACTACTCACAGGCTTGCTACTTCAAGACTAGTAGGCTTTTTATAAGACACGAGAATGATACATCACAAGATAGGTTTGAATAGCCAGGATTATTTTAAGTATATAAGTGATCTGTGTCCTTTTTTTTTTTAATGATGAATTTATAGGACAAAAAAAAAATTTCATCTCTAAAGACCCTGGCATATTGGAAGTGATAGAGTTTTTTGTTGTTGTTTTTTGAGGTCTCGTAGTGTAGTCCAGGCTAGTCTTGAACTCACTATGTAACCCCAGTTTGTCTTCCTACCTCAACCTCCCAAGTGCTGGGATTACAAGCATGCACCACCACTCCTGGCTGTGATAGAGTTTTGTAAATGAAAAATCACTTGATTACTTAACAATTTTTTGAGCGATCAGCTTGCTGTCACTGGTGATTCAGTCATTACAGAAGCATTTCTTGGGGACGTGTGGAAGAGAATATAAAACAAAATGCTGCCCCTGCTTAGTCTCTAGTTGGGGAAATGATGGAACAATGCAAAATAACCTATATGCAGGAAAAACATGACCTACGTTATTGTGTATTGCAAACTATAAATGCTGTGGTAATGCGGTTAGGAAGTAGTTGGTGGAAATGGGATTGCTCAGAGAGCACGTTTTCAAGAAGCTGAATCTTTTCAAGAAGCTGATCAGGTCCCCCAGGAAGAGATTGACCAAGATGGGCATCGATGAGTCAGGAGGGAGTACAGGAGGGAAGGGCTGGGGTGGAGTGAGGTGAGGGGCCAGTCATCAAACCAAGGGCCAGAAGTGTAAGTTGCAAAATATTTTCACTTTTTTAAAAAAAAAATCTGCTTATGAATATTTGGAAGTTTGCAAAGAACTGATTTCATGTGCTCTAGTTGTGAAATCCCAGTGTTCCACCTTTACATTATCCTATTTATAAATTTTACTTATGTCCTACTTATAGGTGCAGCTAGACGCTGCTCACAAATTAGAGATAATAAAAGAAATAAAATTAAGCCTGCGTGTAGTGGCGCACACTACACAGCTGATCCCAGCACCTGGAAGGCTGAGGCAGGAAGATCACCTTGAGTTCAAGGCCAGCCTGAACTACATATAGAGTCCCTCTCACCAAAGAAAAGGAATAAAATTACAGATTGTGGCTTATGTGTGTGTATAAAAATTTGTTATTCTAAACATGTACTTTGAAATTGGTCTAACCAAGCATTTGGTTATAAATTCTTTAAGAAAGAATATTGAATTTCATATAATTTATGTAGGACTCTGTAGTAATGGGTAGACAGTTCAACCTTTTATACTTTGTTGAAAAAATAAAAACCTATTTTTTGTTTAGATATAGTTTGAACCCAGGATTCATACCAGTGAGATAAAAACCATCTAGTAAATACTTCCTAGTATTTATTAATTTAAAATAGGCCACAAGTGCTTTTATAAAGGTTTACAGATAACCTTATAACCTTACTAATAACACTTATCAGATGCCTTTCTGCCAGATACATAGTTTCTACTTTACTTTCCCATTTTGTGTAACATAAGCAGTTTTCGGCTTTTTGAGACAGCGTCTCACTATTCAGTTCCGGCAGACTTTAAACTCACTTTGTAGTGTAGGCTGTCTTCAAATTCATGGCAGACCTCCTGCCTGAGTCTCTGAGTGCTAGGATTACAGGCGTGAGCCACGGCCTACTTTTTGTCCTTATAGGTGTGGGAAAGTTTGTGGATTTATGGTGGTGTGATTGGTTTTGTTTTGTTTTGTTTTGTTTTGTTTGAGACAGGGTCTCACTGTGTAGTTCATGCTGGCCTTGAACTCATATGTATCCCAGGCTGGCCTCAAACTCTCAGCAGTCCTCCTGCCTCAGCCTCCTGAGTGTTGGGATTACCGGTGTGCACCACTATGCACAGCTGTGCTGGTGTGTTTTTAAGGCAAGGGGTATAAAAATAAAATAGCTCAAAATACACAAAATCATAGGAAATGGTAATTTAATGAAGCAAACATTATTTAAAATTGACAGCTGATGTTCTATCCAGAGGGCCACTTTTTAAAAAGAGTTTAGCCCATGCCTGTCATTTCAACTATGTGGGAGGCTAGGACAGGAGAATTGCTTGAGCCCAGGAATTCAAGGCCAGCCTGGACAACATAGTGAGATTCTGTCTCAAAACTTTTTTTAAAAATAAGGCTGGGCATGGTGCTGCACGCCTGTAATCCCAGCACTCCCGAGGCAGAAGGGTCCCTTCGAGTTTGAAGCTAGCCTGAACTACATAGTGAGACCCTATCTCTAAATAAATAAATAAAACAAACAAACAAAAAGATAGTTTATTCTTACTGATTGAAAATTTCCAAGCTATATTATCCTTCCGTTTGATATACAAAAACTTGAGAAGCTTGCCTTAACCTGGCACAGTGATGTTCTTTTTGTGGTGTGGGCAGGAATTTCAGGCATGCTCTTGCCACCCCCGTGCCAAGAAAAGCTGGGTCTCTGAGGTTAGGCAACTGAACTAAGGCAGTTCTTTTTTATCTCAAGGATTTGCAGAGCTTTTACATTCATTCATCCATCAAACATTCAGCTCTTTTTTGGGGAGGGTAGAGATTTTCCATTCATTCATTAAACATTTATTCAACTTTTTTTTTTTTTTTTTGAGGTGGCTGGTATTCTAGATTAGCCCTGAACTCACTGTGTGACCCAATTTGGCCTCAAACTTCTGGCGATTCCTCCTGCCTCACCTTTCTAAGCTCTGGGGTTGCAGATGTGTGCCACCACACCCAGCTCAATTCTCTCTGTCCCTGCCTCTTTGCTTTCTTTTCTCTTTTGTCTTTTTCTTTTTCTTTTCTTTTTCTTTTCTTTTTCCTTCCTTTCTCTTTTCTTTTTTCTTTCTTTCCCCCTTCAAGGAAAAAGGCCAGTTAGTGAAGTTTTTTTTTTTTAAGCTTCTGTCTAAGGCAAGCATTCTGGCCAAGGAATGGTGTAATCAACTAGGAACAGTGCAGTTATCCACATAAGACTGACAAAAAGTAAAATATTTTATAGTTTGGCTAAACAATATGTAGCAATGTAAGGAAGTACAGAATAAGGGTGGCTAAAAACAGGAGTCCTTTAAAAAAAAATACAGGTCTCTTTAAAGGGAGCATTGATTTAATTTGTGGTATTTTCCATGGTTTCTTCCTCCTGTTATCCCAGTTACTTCTGGGCTCTAAGGAAATTTACATTTCCTGAATGCATAAAGGAGAGGAGCTACAGCCTTGAATCCAAGAAAGAAATTTTTTGCAGTACTCAAGATTTGGGGCCAGATCATTCTTTTGTAGGGGCTTGTCCTGTGCACTCTGAGATGTTAGCAGCAAGTTCAACTCTTACTTTGAGCCAGAGGCACTTGAAGATACCTAATTCCTGCCCTCGGGAAGTTTAGAGTTGAGATAAAGAAGGGAAGAGATAGAGACATGCAATGTTGATCAAACAAGTAATCATTAACTGTTCTTTTCAGTAAAGCAATAGAACACAGTAGGGGCTGGGGATTTATCTCAGCCGCACAGCACCTGCCTGGCAAGTGCAAGGTCGTGAGTTCGATTCCTGGTGGGGGGCGGCGGGGAACAAAACAACAACAACAACAAAAAGAAGACAGTAGTACAACTATGTTAGCTATCCTGTATATACATACATACATTCCCTATTTATTTTCCTGAGAAACTACTTTGAAGATATCAATATGTAATACAAAAACCATTGTGTTGCTTTGTTTTTTTTTTTTTTTTTTTTTGTCTTTTCTTCCAGTATCAGGAATTGAACTCACGACCTTGCGCTTGCCAGGCAGGCACTTTGCCACTGAGCTAAATCCCCAGCCCCCAACAACCATTGTTAATTTCCTACAACTTCGTCTGTAACTTTGTATTGTTTGTATTGTTCTTATGCTATTTTGTAAATGGGTGTGTGTTTGTTAATATGTTTTCCTTTTATTTTTAAAATACATTTTTAAAAGAAGAGAAAGCAAAGCTAGCAAGGGACAAGGAGTTGAAGGGAGGGGAGGGGAATGGGGTAAAAAAGAAGCACGATACATCATGTACAAGTATAAATTCCCTATGATGAATGTTATTGTATATATCTAAAAATACCAATGAATTTTTTTTTTTTTTTTTTTTTTACTTTTTGAGACAGGGTCTCGCTATGCAGTTCAGGCTGGCCTTGAGCTCACTTTGTAACCCAGGCTGGTCTCTAACTTGCAATGATGCTCTTGCCTCAGCCTCTGGAGTGCTGGGATTACAGGTGTGCACCACCACGCCCAGCTCCAATGAATTTTTTTAAATGGAAAAAGAAAAGTAAAGTGAAGGGGTATGGATGTAAAAATAGAAGTCTGGAAAGGGCACAGCATATGGGAGGGAGAGAGAGACACACCTGTATGGGTCCCTAACGGGAATCAGAGGTTGTGAATGCTCAGGAAAAAGTGGATGGAGAAGTTAGCACTTGAATTGAACTTCCGCCTGAGAGATCTGCCACCAGTAAAGGCGAGGAGTTATTCGGCCCTGTAGGAGTAGAGGACAAGTAAGGACTTTGTGGTCAGACGTGGGTTTGTTTCTGGTCAGTGGTTTGTAACTCCTAGGCAAGAGACTTCATTCATCTTTGGACATGCTAGTCTGTAGAACCAGAAGGGTAATCGTATCTTCCCTCATCCTTGCTACTCATCTGACAGTTGGTTCCTTTATTAGACACTAGGAGTATAGCAGTGAACAACAGTAAATATGTCTGACTGAGGAAGGTAGGACAGGGTCATGAAAATGTGCAATGAATTAACAAAGACACTCTTCAGCCAGGACAGCAAGCTGTTAAGACAAAACCCAAGATTCCATTTCATGGAAAAGAAATACATGATAATTGTTTTAGGTCAGTGGTGGCACATGTGCTATAGTGGGCTGTTTGTGTCATTGAAAGCTCTAAAAGGTTCACCATTACTACATGGTGAGTAAGTTTTTCTTTTTCTTTTGTTTGTCTGTGTGGTGCTGGGTACTGAAACTGGAATCTCACACATGTGGGCAAGTGCTCTACCACTGAGCTACATTCCCAGTCATGAATTTATATTTCCTGAAGCAGGCAACTTTCT